TACAGCAAGAAAATTACAAATGAAAATATATATATATAGCAAAAAAAAATTTTCATATGTTAATAAATTCTATTAATTAAATTATGATATTCACATTCACCCAACATTTTATTTAATAATATGTAGCGCATATACTTTTCTTTACCATTCTTTAATGGTATGTCTAAATAAAATCCTATTCTTTTTGACATTTACAAATAAAAATCTATATAGCAAAAAATTTTCATTTTATATAAATAAATTTTATTAATTAAATTATGGGCCTCGCATTGACCTCACCTCACCTTATTTTTTAAATGGTAGGTCCTACATTCACTTTTTTTTTTAATTCTATGTCTATATTTTTTTAACAAAATATGCATTAACTATTTTTAATCAAATTTAAACAAAAATTAAAAAAAAGTAAAGAACACTATTCAAAACATTATAAATCTAATGTGTTTTGATATTGTCCTTTCGAATATATATGGAATTTTTTTTACTTTTGATATCCCAGTGGCATTTAAGTATGTTGGGTTCATTGTCCGCCTAATCCACTTCAGGCTAATTTGAATTCTCATTTAGGTGGGGCCCTTTTCGAGGGGGTTTCGTGGATATCACTGTTAAGACATGTTTTACATACTCAACTTCATATTTTGAAACTCGAACTTGAGACCTTAAGTTAAACTGTCCAAGTTTTTAATAATTAAGGCAAGTGCATGTTGGTATTGATGACTCGATTGTACTATATGGAATTGATATTGGTGCTGATGACTCGATTGTGCAGTAAAAGTGTGTTTGGAAAACCAGCGTTTTACATTCAAAAAGTTATTTTTTACTTTGGGAAAGTTAAATGGTGTTTGGGGATTATTTAAGGTTTAAAATTAACTTTCTAAAAGTGCTTTCGGACCTGGCTAAAACGAAAAAAATTGGAAGCTAATATTTGGAGTTTTTAAAAAGTCAGTTGAGGAAAGATATAATACCTATTATTTAAAATGACCATGATACCCCTGGTTTCATATTTGTCGTTTTTCTCCTGCCCGAATGGTCTTCTTTGTTCTTCAAAACTCACCTTTCTTCATCTCAGTTCTCTCTTCTCTGTGCTCTGCTCTTGTTCGCCTCTCCTCCATCTTCCCCCACTATCTCTAGTCATAGATCTGACTTCTTCGTTCTCTCTTCTCTGTGTTGTGCTTTGGTCTGCTTCATCCACCTCGTCCGCTGTCAGATCTTCGGTGACTATCGTCCTTCTCTCCTTTATCTCTCCCTCGCTATCTTTAGTCACAGATCTGACTTTTCTTCCTTTACCAACCTCGTGGTCTCATTCTGTCATCCTTCCTCGCCATTCTAGTCACCATTTTCCATTTATTCTTTTGGGTCTTGGACGGCATTATAAAGCTGACAGAAGTAAAAACACCTAAGGCTTGAACTGAACTCGGACACTCAGATGCTCAGACGGTTAGAGCTTCTTTTGTGTCTTGGATGCTCGATGGTCCTCTAATTTGTTCTCCGAATTGCTTATGCTCTGTTTTTTTTGGTTGAAGGTACTTCTGCTCTGTTTGACCATTTCTTCCACCTGCATTGGTAATCCAAAACTTGAGAGTTTCTGGACGTTGGGAATCTGAACGTTAAAGAAGAAGGATTGGTTCGAACTTTTTCTCATACTCAATGAATAGGAATGTTGTGAATCTGAACGTAGTTGTGCTCTGTATGTATGGTTCAAACTTTTGTTATGCTGAATGAATAGGAACCGGAATGGTGGAAATGCTTGGTTCTATTTTCAGATCTTAAATTATTTAAGTTCAAAATTAGTTCTGCTCTTTGTATATGTAAATTTTCTTATGATCAATGACTGATTCTTGGGTTTTGATTTCTTTTCCTGAGAATGTGTGTGTTTTAAAATTTTTTTGTGCTCAATTACTAGTGAATTATTCTGAATTTATGTGTGTTTATGTGTGTATTTTTAATTTTTTTGTTCAAACTAATGTTGAATTATGGGTTTTGGAATGGTTTCATAAATGAACATTGGATGATTTACTTAATTAATTATTAGTTGCTTTGTTTCCTATTAAATGTGGGTTGATAAATAGGTCTAATTTATGTTAATTAATTATTGAGAATGTAATATTTCGATAGTTAATATGAGTAAGGAGAAGGCATTGTGGACTACCGAAGAGACCGAACCGTTCATCAAATTAGCTCTCCAACAAGTTAGAAAAAATGAGCGCAAGGGCTCTACCTTGTCAAAGGAAGGTTGGGAAGCGTTAATGCAACAGTTCAATGCTTTGAGCTCTAGAAGTTATGATAAGAAGTAGTTAAAGAATAAATGGGACAATTTGAGAAAATACTGGAATATATGGGATAAATTGCTAAACAAAGAGACTAGTTTGGGATGGGATAGCGAAAAGAATACTGTATCAGTAACAAATGAGTGGTGGAGTCAAAAGATTAAGGTATATAGTTATATACAGCATGCTATATATTTGATGCTTTATTTTGTAAATATATTGAACTCAGTTCTTGTAATGTGTAGGAGAATCCTGAGTATAGAAAATTCAGACATAAACTACTTCCATTTGTATAAGAATTGACATAGTTGTTCCAACCAGTTACAGCACGAGGTACTTACATGTAGACACCTACGGCTGATGGCCCACAAGATGTGTATAGGCCTCAATTGGATTTGACCGAAGGATCAGAAGACAGTGATGATGTGAGAAATATTAGTGGAGGAGCTCTCCCAGAAATTAGATAGGTCAACTTGAACAATGCATACAGTGCTGGTACTAATTTGGGGAGCAAGAGAAAGAGAGGTGAAAGTGGTCAAAACAAGAAGGGAAAATGTCTTGCAACTGTGATGGTTGATTCAGTGAGTCGCTTGGTGTCTACATAAGAGGATAGGGTTTCAACACTGAAGTCAACTCTTAATTCCATAAAGGGTGGAACAAAACCAGTTGATCAAAATGTGGTGGATGTTGCAAAGAAACTTTATGAAATCAAGGAGATTGCTTGTGATGAGGCATTTCTTGGACAGTGTGCTGTGGTTTTGTTAGATAAGACTGCAAAGGACATGTATATTGGATTTAGGGACAACAAAAGAGCATTAGTGGCCTATTTGAGGTGCTTGGGCAAAAAGGCAGATTAGATCAATCCTAACTTGCCTTCTTAATGTTTTAAATTTAGCTAGTGCCATTTATGTTGTTAACTTTATTTTGAAACTGACTGTGTTATTTGACTCTCGTGTTATGTGTTCCTTATGTTAAGTCATGGACAATAGTGTAATGGTTGTTTAATTATGCTATGCAGTTTTTATGGATGACAATACGCAATCTCGCTTATTACAATTACTTGTACATGCGGAAGACAATGAGATTAAGGCTATTACTGCAATAATATCTAATTACTCAACAACTTTATTGAAAGAGCCTTGTAGAACCAATTCATAATCAGGTCATGCATGGGTGCAAGAAATTTTGCAAGGGCATCCTCAGTGTTGTTATGACATGTTTCGCATAGAAAAAGATATTTTTTTTCAACTTTATGATGAACTGGTGCAACATGATTTGTGTCCAACTATAAGAATAAGGATTCATGAAATGGTCAGTATGTTCTTAAATATTGTTGGACATGGGGTCGTCCTTGTGAGAAGCTAGAAAAGGAATATATCCAACCAAAAGATCACACTTTTCAAGATATTCATCCAAAAATTTTAGGTGATCCACGATATTGGCCATTCTTTAAAGGTACCATAGGAGCAATCGATGGAACACATATCCCATGCGTGGTTAGTGTTAAAGAGCAAGGGAAATATATTGAAAGGAAAGGTATTCCAACACAAAATATAATGGCCGTATGTGATTGGGATATGTGCTTCACTTATGTCATGGCTAGATGGGAAGAGACTGCCCATAATGCTCATTTGTTTAACCATGCACTCACAAGGCCGAACATGAAATTTCTACATCCACCTCAAGGTATATTTCATATTTATCTAATTTAAAATAATTTACTCAATATTTTTTTGGGATTTTATAATTTTTATTTTTTATTGATAGATAAATATTATTTGTTAGATGCTGGCTTTCTAATGCCACGTGGATATTTAGGTCCTTATAGATCTCATAGGTACCACCTCCCAGATTTCAGGAGTTCATCTGAATTTGCAAATAATAATGAAGTTTTTAATTATTATCATTCAAGCTTAAGGACCATGATTGAAAGGGCTTTCGGGGTTTGAAAGAACAGATTTACAATCTTACTACACATGCCTAGCTATCCATCTGTGACACAAGTTTGTATCGTTGGTGCAATAATGGCTATACATAATTTTATTAGAAGAAAATTTACAACTGATTCTGACTTTAGCCGTTTTGAGGATGAAAATATGGTTCATACTAACGATGATAATAATGAGCATGTATTTTCATCAACAATTTCAAGTGTAACTTCTGATAGAGAGATGAATATGATTCGAGATTCTATTAGAGATCAGATTGTAAATTATAGATTGAACCATTAATCATGTAACTATTCAATATTAATGAACGTTTAACTATTTATTACATAAATTTGTCCAAAATTAAATTTTATATTTTTTCTTATTAGTTAACATTTTAAATTTTATGTTATTTTAAAATTTGTTTCACATTTTTCAAATATTACTAATATATTATATTTGTATAATAAAAATTATAAATTATCATTCCTTAATGTCCTTTTTGGTCATTACACATTAAAAGTATATTTCAAAAGAATAAATTTTCATTAATCCAAACAATTTTATGTTTGTTAAAGTAATTTTTAAAAAAATATATTCAAATATAAATTTTGTTACAATAATTAATTTTTATTAAATTGATTTTTACCAAATAAATTTTTATTAAATTAACTTTTATTAAACTGAAAATTAAACACACATTTAGCCCATTTAATTGGCTGGAGTTAGGCCGGGCCGGCACTGTGGGTCAATAAGAATTTGACAGTCTTACTTCTCTCGGTGGAAGCCCACAAAAGCCAAAATCATGAATTCACGGTCTGCGTTATAGCCAGGTCGCCACATGGATGACACGATTCTTCGGCCGGAACGGATCGGGAGCTCTGCTCTTTACTATCCCTAATCCTCTCTTTCCTCTCCGGGCTCCCTCTCCGGCCGTCTCGGAGCCGCCATTCCGTTTCGTCCCATTCACTTCTAAGCCGCCGCTTGCTTGGTTCATCAACACTTCTCTTCTGCACACGCCATTGTTTCGCCCCTTATCCTCCTCCTCCTCCTTCGCCGCCACCATGCCTGGAACTGGGACTACGGGAGTGGAGTGGCCAGCGAAGCGGGTCAGGGACACATTCATCAAGTTCTTCGAGGAGAAGAATCACGTCAACTGGAAGTCTAGCCCTGTTGTTCCCCTCAATGACCCAACCCTTCTCTTTGCGAATGCTGGTGTGATTCTCTTCTCCCTTGATTATTAAGTTTCGGAGGTTGCACAAAATATTCCTTTTTCTTGGCGTCATATGTTCTGTAAATAGGGTCACTACAGCCCCGCTTGTGTAACTGATCTGAGATCCAAGCTTTCGACTTCCTACTAAAGAGCAATCCTTGAAAATTACCCTCGCTCATAATCTATCTACTGAGTTAGTACAAGAAAGGGAGAAAAGATGTAATTTATGTGGAACTTTTAATCTATCTTCTGACTTTTAGCTCAAGCTTTCTTCTGCCCTTGTTTGTTGCTTAGTGTAAGCTGGTCTGTCAAATCCTATGGAACGTTAAGTTTATGTGGCTTCTTAATTGCAACGTATTGTAACATGTGAGTGTTAGCTGTGTATATACTGTTGCTGATTGTAATATTGGCGAAATTAGTGTGGTTGAATGTCTTGTCTTTTGTCAACTATCTAGTATCTCTGTGACTACATTTCCTATTAAAAGGTTTTTTTTCTTCGTCTTTTGTCATTTTATAAAACGCAAGTTGAAGCTTTCATCTGTCTGCCAGATTTGAGATGCGTTGTACTCGCTTAGTTTCTTATACTTCCCTTGGTACAAGTTCAAGTAGCAGCTTGCGCCATTATTTCAACATTAAAGAGAAAGATGTTTTATGGCCTCTTTAGTTTATCTGTGTTCTTCTCATTGTTATTTTTATTTCATATTGAACGATACTCTAGTTGATTGTACGTTATGATGTTAATTTAAAGTAAAATTCTTCTATTTTGCCATGCGGATATGGTAAATAACCAAAGTTTCACATGGATTAACACATAGATTAACATTGCTCTTTAATTCTTTTGTTATGCATATTTGTCTTCACCCATGGTGTCTTGTTCTCCCCTTTCTTTCAACAAAAAAAATTTATTGTTGCAATCTGCTTTGAATTTGATAGGCATGAACCAATTCAAGCCAATCTTTTTGGGAACTGTGGATCCTAATACTGGCTTGAGCAAACTCACTCGTGCTTGCAATACCCAAAAGTGCATACGAGCTGGTGGCAAACATAATGATCTCGATGATGTAGGAAAAGATACTTACCATCATACCTTCTTTGAGATGTTGGGCAATTGGTCGTTTGGTGATTACTTCAAAGAAGAAGCCATTGGGTGGGCATGGGAACTTCTGACAAAGGTATGGGCCTTCACTGTTTAATAAAGTTACAGTTTGTACAAATTTTTGTGTGTACTGAGTTACTGTCTGCTTCTGCTAGACATGATGAAATTTTATGAACATTTAATATTTAAATTTTGGTATTCCCAAATGAGAACCAAATATTTGAGGGAGGAGCAGTTTTGGTGAAACACCTTGATACTTGAGAGAAATGCCTATAGGAGATGAAGCATGTACGCATAAAAAAGGCCATTTCATACTTTGGGTTTGTCTTATTTTCACTTTCCTTTAAATTTCTCTGTTTCAACTGCGTCTTTCTCTTGCTGCCTTCTATGTTCAGTTTTTATGTTTGGCCAAGACGTTACAGGCCAGAAAACGATTTGTCCAAGGTGAATCGTGCTGTTTTATGGGAAAGGTTCATAGTGGAAAAAGAATTCAAAACTGATTGACCCCTGATCTGCTTTGATTTTCATCCTTTTATTAATTTTTGTTAGGTCAGTTTTATGGGTCAACTGACCTTGTTCAGGGACTGGTTCATTGGTCTGTCAATTGAACTGTTAAGTTTGGTTAGATTTTTAAAATTCAGGGTTGCACTATCAATAAAATGTTCAATGCATATTTAGAATTTGGAGGTTATTCATGATTATATTTTTGATATATCTTCATTTGCTTCTTTTTGGTTGCAGGTTTATAAATTACCAACAGGTCATCTTTATGCGACATATTTTGGTGGTGATGTTAAGTCTGGTCTTGCTCCTGATATTGAAGCTAGAGATATTTGGCTTAAGTTTTTGCCAGCTGGGCATGTTCTTCCTTTTGGTAGTAAAGTATGTTTTTTTTTTAAACCGTTTTTTCATCTGATCATGTGATTTTTATGTTCATCAAGATTGTAGTTAGTCTGAAAATGCATATTGTCTGGATTTTGAAGTTGTAACAAAAAAATCATGTGTTTATTAAATAAATTTTTTCCTCTCTTGAACGTGTAAATATCAAATACTTTTACCAGACATTAGTGAACCATCCAATATCTAAAGCATAACTTGTTTACTTCATATCTAACTGGGTTTATATCTGAGTAGGACAATTTCTGGGAGATGGGTGATACTGGTCCTTGTGGACCTTGCACTGAGATACATTATGACAGAATAGGTAACCGTGATGCGGCATCCTTGGTCAATAATGATGACCCTACATGCATTGAGATTTGGAATCTTGTGTTTATTCAGGTATGATTTTGACTGTCTTCCTGATCTTTTGATTCATTGCCATTTATGAATTTGATGATCTGGTCACGGTGCAACACAAGATGCAAACCTATTTTTTTCCTAGAATATCTAACTTGTTTTTGGGTGAAATGATTACTAAGCTTTTTCTGGACCTCTTATCTTCCTTCTCTTTTCCTAACAGTACAATAGGGAGGCTGATGGGTCTCTTAAACCTCTGCCCGCAAAACATGTTGATACAGGCATGGGATTTGAAAGATTGACCTCCGTACTTCAGAATAAAATGAGCAATTATGACACTGATGTCTTCTTGCCTGTCTTTGATGCCATTCAGCAGGTATGATGGTCACAGAATTGGAGGTTCTGGTTTTGTTTCATTTAAGGTTATGAAACAGTGAACTTTTAGAGTCTCAAATTTTATTTATTTTTGATTTGAGTTGTAATTCTTGTATTCTCATGGTACCAATGCATCTCTCCTTTCTTAAGTGGGAGTGTTCAATGCAAAAATAGAGAAGAGAGAGAGAGAACTAACAAAATTGAGAACTAGCAACTATCCCTTGCCATGTGGAAGTTTTGGTACAATCGTCATATGTTTAAATTTTTGCAAGTTTATTTGGAGCCTTGAAATATGCAAGGAATTCATTCTTTTAGAAAATATTTTGTATTTTATCAAATATTGAATTTCTTATCGCCACATCATATCTAACAATTTTTTTACCTCAAATAGCTTCTGAAATGATGAGTTTTACTTTCCCATTGAATTGTTTTTTGATGGCATTATCCCTCAACATTGGTCAACTTCTCCTCCAAGACTTATGACGGACTCTTTCAACCGAAGGTAACCACTGTGAGTGGTAGATAACCATTGGTCCGGGAAGTTATAACAAGGTCTATAATCAAAGGGGTGAGGGAGGAAGAGACAGAGAGGGAGGGTGACAAGAAAAATGATCTACTTTGCCTATGTAAGGGGGATGGTTGTGGAGTGATTGTAAATGCTTTTTGTGAGGACTCAGCTCAAGTAAGGGGCTTTCGGTCAAAAAAATCAGTCAGGAAAGAGAGGACTGGCCTCTGGAAAGCCAGCTGCTTATTTTGGGTTGTGCTGAATGTTTTGGGGTCTGTTTCACTAAGATTTTGTCTAAAATCAGAGACTCAATGTATTCTGCAAGGCTGTTACAGTGAATCTTCTGGAGGATTAATACAAAACGTCAAAACTCAAGTTTTCTGTCATCTTTTACGACAATTTTTCTGCAATCTTCTGTTAGTGTATGAGTGAATATACCAGAGAGCCAATGTTTTCTTGTTCTTTTAGAATTGTCAGTGCTTTTTTACATTTGAAATGTTATTGATATGTGACATCTGCGTAGATTAATGTTGATGCATGTTATTAATTGCTTGGATGTTATGAGGACATGTACTAGTATTGGTTGAAAGATAATTTCTGAATTTGACAGCTTCTTATGACTTCTCTTATTTAAGGTTTTTGAAATTGAAGATATAGTGTCCCATGTGTCAATTCACTTTGCAGTCTGCTAGATGATAAATATAATACAAGATCTATGCAGGCAACTGGTGCTCGGCCCTATTCTGGAAAAGTTGGACCTGATGATGTTGACAAGGTTGACATGGCATACAGGGTTGTTGCAGATCACATCAGAACTCTGTCATTTGCCATTGCTGATGGATCTCGCCCTGGTATGTTATTGTACATTGGGTATCTTAGGCCGTTTTCTTTTTTTTTTTTAAAATAATAAAAACAAGAATGTATGGTCATCTATGTTCTGCATTTTGCCGTTTTTTACTGTACCATAAGATAGGCATACTTTATTTGTATTACAACTTGCAAGAAATGTAATATTTTTGCTGTGACTTGAAGTACAATAAAACACTATCTAATTCCCCCCTCTCTCTTGTCACCCTCTTTTTATAGTCCAAATTTCTACATTACTTGTACTTTCTTATTCTAGAATTAGAAGATACTTCCTTAGTTGTGTCATATTTGCTTGTTTTGAAGGTAATGAGGGTCGTGAGTATGTCCTTAGGCGTATACTCCGTCGAGCTGTTCGATATGGACGTGAAGTCTTAAATGCTAGAGATGGGTTTTTCAATGGGTAGGTATAATTTTCTTTTGAGGGCTTTGTTTCAGTGGTTGGTCAACGAGTTTCTTGATATTATTCCTCTCTCTCTAGCATCTAGTCCAATGAAATATTGAATACTTTGGTTTGCTTGATTAGTATTATTTCTAAGTAAAAGAAATTGATTAGTAGGATTGGTCCTGGGTTGACTCTACAAGTTGAACTGTTAACATTGTTCTTAACAAGCTATTGAGCTATGGTTGTTATGGTTTTTTTTTTTTTTAAATTGGGTCCTCAATTTTGTTAATTGCAGGCTTGTAAGTACTGTGGTCAATGTAATGGATGATGTTTTTCCGGAGCTAAAACACCATGAAGTGCTTATCAAGGATGTCATTAAGGAGGAGGAGGAAAGTTTTGGGAGAACCTTAATTAAGGTGAGAATTATTATGTATGAACTTAAGTGTCAGCATGATGGCCATGTTTTCAGTTCTAGTGAACTTGAGGACTTATGGTGTTGCTGATAGATTTTCCTGTATTTTTTTGAGAAAATCTTACTGGTTGTTCTGCGTCTTCAGGGGATTGAGAAATTTGAGATGGCTGTTCGACATGTTCAGGGAAAAATATTGAGTGGGCAGGCAAGTGAAGTCTTCTCTCTCGTCTGGTCATATTTATAATGTTTTGCACCATTGCTGGGAGGAAACGCATATATGTAGCCTTGTATATTTAATGTGCTTGTTTTCAATCAAATCAAGACGTGGAAGGAAATACTTATATGCAAGCTCTTATTGTTAATATTGTTAACACTTTTCTTGTTTTGATTGAATTGGATAAAAGCATAATAAGCATAAAGAGGTTAGGTACGTAAGTCTTCTCCTCGTTGCAATATACATATTCATTTAATTATGAGAACGTGAGGTACATTTTTTAATTAAATAAATGCTTGTCTTTGAAAAAAAGCATTAATATGGCCAGATATGGCGGAACTTTTAAATTACACATGTATACGACGATTGAAAACTATATTTTCTAGAAATTTATTTTAATTTGCTACTTTCTAATGCTATCTCATATTTATTGTCCTTACTAAGGTGATGAATGGATCCTTGTTCATCTATAACAGAGTTAAGATCCACATGGGTAGGCAGCTGATGTTGATGACTTCCATGAACTTGTTTTCCGTGCCAGTATCAACTAGTTGTTACAGATCGACCAGTGTGTGATTTTTGCCAAATTAATAATTTGGCAGCAAACTCTTAAAATTTCACTTTGTTTTGCTACTTTCTTATGCTATACCAAATTGATTGTCCTTGGGAAGGTCATTTACTTGAAAGATCCCTATCCTCTTGAGAAAATTAAGATCCATGCTGATTCAAAAATAATAAAAGCTGATGTCATTTAGATAGTTATTAGTTGTTGAGGGTTGTTAGGATTGTTTAACTGTTTTAATGATGTTGCTTAGCATTTCCTGGAATCCTATAAATATTAGGATGCCCTCTCAATTGTAATTAGCTTACTGACAGAATAAATGAGTACTATTCAGATAGATCTCTGTTCTCTCCTCTGATTTCCCACTGGTTCTTTCTATCTCTTCTGAATTTCCCTCTTTATTTCTCAGTTCCATTCTACTTCTATTTCTCTTCTACTTTCTCTTCTATTTTCTATATCACTTGCACTTAGTGTAGCTGATGTTGATGACTTGATGCAGACTTTTTCTCCATGCCAATTATAACAAGTTGTTGCTGACATAACTGTGTGATTTCTGCCCAGTTGTATATTTGACAAATGTCTCTGTTCTGTTGTCAAGACTTAAGTAGATATGCAATCTCTGTTTCTTGTTTATTGGTCAAGACTGTCTAAATGTAGATTTATTTTGTTTGGTGACAAAGTACCTCCAAATACTGCTTAGAGTTTCAAAATTGGGGATATTTTCCCATGTGATGAACAAGCTTCATCCAAATTTTTGTTTTGTAGTGTTTAAATTGTGATTCAATTGAAACTATTACCCTTACTACTTGTTACTTTGCAGAATGTCTCATGGTGATCTCTCATCCATTTATATCTCTTAACTGCAGGAAGCCTTTATCTTGTGGGATACATATGGGTTCCCATTGGATCTCACTCAGGTAGATAGAGTGCTTTTGCTGTTTACTGTCTGAGTTTTTGCACTTTGAACCATTTGTACCATGATTCACTCTAGTTAATTTTCCGCTTATCAGCTGATGGCGGAGGAAAAGGGTTTACTTGTTGATGTTGAGGGTTTCAATCTTGCCATGGAAGAAGCAAGAGAGAGGTCACGAAATGCTCAAACAAAGGTAATTTGCTTTTAGCGTCCTCTGAATTTTACTAAGCTTCTGAAAATTGAAACGACAGACTCATGCTTGTACTGATTTATTCTAATTCCCTCCCACAAATCATGTATTTTTACGTGGCAGCAAGCTGGTGGTGTTATTGTCATGGATGCTGATGCTACTTCAGCATTGCACAAAAGGGGCATTTCTCCAACCGATGATAGCTTCAAGTTTGTTTGGTTCAAGGTGAGTTTTTTTTTTTTTTTGTTTTTTTGGGTTTCCTTTTCTTTTCACTGTCTGTTGGATTTTTTTTTTTTAAATAAAACGCAAAGTAGAGCAAGTCTGTTCAGAAGAAATTCTTAGATGAAGAATTATGCAAGAAGATGAAGGAATAAAGGAGGGGATAGGATTTTTCTTGGAGCATGCACATATTGAGACATTTAGAATGGAGAATTATTAATAATTGGTTTTCATTTCAGCAGTTGTATAACTTGTTTTATGCTATCCACTTTCTTGCTAATTATTTACTGGGTGATATTTTAGAATTAATCTAACAGTTTGTTTTCCCATTTATTGTTCTTTTAGAATCATGAGACTGTGGTGAGAGCAATATATACAGGTTCTGAGTTCTTAGATGCCGTTGACACTAATGGTGATGTTGGTGTTGTTCTGGAATCTACAAGCTTTTATGCTGAGCAAGGTGGTCAGGTACTGAAATATTAAACTTGTTTTCTGTTAGCTATCAATGGTTTAGACAATTTTTTTGTAGAAAAGACAAAATATTATGCTTAGTTTTGACTGATATAGTTAATGCTTTGTACAATAAACAATATTATTTAAAGTTTGTTAAACATTCCATTGATCATCAACATTTGATACTGTGGGACTTCTGTGGAGTTTCCTCTCTATTATTAACCTTCTTTTCTGATTGACAGATGGTTAATAAGTTCAATAGATTGAACATAATATGCTAGAAAGTGAGAGCTGTACTGAATGATGGGCAAGATCTTGTCAGAACTTGTTAACATTGTATCAAGGCTAATCCAAAAAACTGCTTTGTAAGATTTTGTTGTATGAGAAATAGAAGTGAAAGCGCGGCAACTCTTGATCATAGCGAGCTTTATCGCTGGATAAAGTGGACTATTTGTATCCTTGGTCATTGTGGTATAAGATATAGATTTGATTATTAAAAGATTTGAAGTCTAAATAAAGTATTGGCAATGTGGGAAACTATTCATGATAGAAAATAATTGAACTACTGCTGTATAAGTTACTCTGTAAGACAAATTTCAAGCTGCATGATGTTGTATGATAAATATACAAGCAGCTTTATTGTTGTAAGTGAGATTGGCTTTGTGGATCTGTATGATGCCACTAGGGTCTATCAACATTAGGTAATAAATACAATGTCAACAAATTAAAGAAACGGAATTTGAAGTGAATGTATGCAATAGAATGCAGTTTGATTGTCATCTCAATATTTTATAAATGCAACATTTGTAGTTCAAGTAGGTTTGAATTGAAATGTAAAATTAGAGCTTTTGCTAGATCCTATCTCTAGGCAATTATCAAGCAAACAACCATCCTTCTTAGTGTGGGCAGTAGAATATTTGTTTGAAACATAATCCTAAATACAATAATCTTAGCTGATTAACTTGCATAAAGGCTTGCTGCAAACTAAGGTTGAGCCGAAAGGATAAAATTTGCTTAATAGGTCTACAACAACAACAACAACAAGCCTTTATCCCACTAGGTGGAGTAGGCTACATGGACTGCAAGACGCCATTGTGCTCTGTCATTTATCAAGCTTTTAGGAATATTATTAATTAAGAGATCGCGTTCAACAACTTCCAAGAGTGTTCTTTTTGGCCTTCCTCTACCCCTCTTAATCGGACTCAAAGTTATATGTTCCACTCTTCTCACTGGTGCCTCCCTTGGTCTTCTTTGTTCATGCCCAAACCATCTCAACCGATTTTCTATCATTTTTTCCTCAATAGGTGCTACCCTCACTTTTTCGTGTATGTGCTCATTTCGAATTTGATCTTTACGTGTATGTCCGCACATTCATCGTAACATTTTCATCTCTGCTACTCCAACTTTATGCTCTTGCTGTCCCGTTTGAGCCCAGCACTCATTACTATATAACGTTGCCGGTCTGATAGCAGTGCGATAAAACTTTTCTTTAAGTTTATTAGGCACCTTACGGTGGCAAATAACTCCTTTAGCTTTTCTCCAATTAAACCACTCAGCTTGAATCCTATGTGAAATATCTTCACTGATTTCGCCATCATTTTGAATAATGGCTCCCAAATATCTAAACTTTTCAACTTGAGGCATAATTTGATCTCCCAATTTCACTTTCAAATTATTTTCGAATAGTCTCTTACCAAATTTACAATATAAATATTCCGTCTTACTCTTACTCAGACTTTTGACTCCAATGTCTTCCTCCATAACTCAAGTTTGCAATTAATCTCTTCTCTTGTCTTTGCTATAAGAACTATATCATCCACGAAGAGCATACATTTGGGAGTTTTTCCTTGAATATGTTCCGTCAAAACATTTAGGATCAAGTTGAACAGATAAGGACTCAGAGATGATCTCTGATGTAATTCAATCTTTATAGAAAATTCTTTGTTTGACCACTAGGCATTCTTATACTAGTTTTTACCCCCTCGTACATATCTTGTATGGCTTTAATATAAGCAATCCGTACTTTCTTTTTTTCCAACGCTTTCCAAAGCACTTCTCTTGGTATACGGTCATAAGCTTTTTCCAAATCAATAAAAACCATGTGTAAATCTTTATCTTTACAACGATATTTTTCCATTAATCCCCTTAGTAGATAAATCGCTTCTGTAGTTGATCTACTTGGCATAAAACCAAACTGATTCTCAAAAATACTTGTCTCCAATCTCAACCTGTGCTCAATTACTTTCTCCCACAATTTCATTGTGTGGCTCATGAGTTTAATCCCTCTATAGTTAGTACAATTCTGAATATCTCTTTTATTTTTATAAATAGGAATTAATGTACTTCTCCTCTACTCATCAGGCATTTTATTGGACCGTAAGATCACATTAAATAACTTAGTTAACCATCTCACCCCTTTTTCACTTAAACATTTTCACGTTTCGATAGATATACAATCAGGTCCGTTGGCTCTACCATTTGCCATTTTCTTAAGAGCTTCCTTTACCTCCTTATCACGTATTATTCGATAGAATGACAAATTTTGTTCTCCTTCACCAGTTACTAAATCCTCCAAATTACTAGATAAACCTTCTCTATCATTGAAAAGTTTGGAAAAGTAAGTCTCCCATCTATTTTTAATTTCATCATCTGTAACTAAAATTCTTCCCTCTTCATCTTTAATACACCTTACCTGTTCTAGATTTCTTGATTTTCTTTCCCAACTCTTGGCAATCTTATAAATGTTTCGTTCTCCTTCCTTCGTCTCAAGGCTCTTATAAAATTCTTCAAAACTTTAGAACGAGCTTCACCCACAGTTCTCTTAGTTTCCTTCTTAGCCATACGGTGCCTCTCCCAATTTTCCTCATTGTTACACAAATGTATGGCTTTAAAACAGTTTTTTTTATACTTGATTTTGTCCTGTACACTATTATTTCACCATCAAGACTCCTTATCTCTCGGACCAGAACCTTTTGATTCTCCCAAAATTACTTTTGCAACCTCCCGTATCTTTTTAGCCATATCCTCCCACATGATGTTAGCACTTCCTTGAGATTTCCAAATTCCTTTGTCCAAAAGATTTCGCTTGAAAATATCTTGCTTTTCACCTTTTAATTGCCACCACCTAATCCTTATTGCTACTACTTGTCGACGCTTTTGGATTTTACTCAAAATACACACATCAAGGACTAGGACCCTATGTTGTGTCGTTACAGCATCTCCGGAGATCACCTTGTAATTTTTACAAAGTCTTCTATCTGTGTTCCTAATCAAAAGAAAATCAATCTGTGACCTTGAGGCTTCACTTTTGTAAGTGATGAGATGCTCCTCTCTCTTCTTGAAACAAGTGTTGGTAATCTTAAAATCATACGCCAATGAGAAATTAAGAAGAGTTTGTCCTTCATTGTTTAGCTCTCCAAAACCAAAACCACCATGCACCCTCGTATACTGACCAGCCTCCTTCCCAACATGCCCATTAAAGTCTCCTCCAATAAAAATCTTTTCACTCTGTGGTATGTGTCGAATCAACCCCTCCAGATCCTCCCAAAATAATTCCTTAAGACTGGCTTCTGTCCCGACTTGCGGCGCATAAGCGCTAGCAATATTAACAGTCTCACGTCCAATTATCATTTTTAAGGAAATAATTCTGTCTCCAATTTTGCTAACTTCTACAACATTCTTCTTCCACTCCTTATCCATAATGATACCTACTCCATTGCGTGCACTTACTTTTCCTGTATACCAAAGTTTGAAACCTTGAATATCCTTAGCTTCTTCTCCACGCCATTTTGTTTCTTGCAGGCTAAGGATATTGATTTTCCTTTGAATCATAACCCATACAACCTCTAAGAATTACAATTCAATATCCCAACATTCCAAGTACCAAATCTAATTATGCTCTCATGGACGAACCTCTTTAGTTGCGCGCGTCCAGAATGACGCGGTAGCCCTTGCTCATTTAACACTACATCCGGGCGCCGATGCAGCGGCTCTAAACTTATCACTACACTCGAGCCATGCAGTGTGTTACTTACAGGCAATGACCTAGCATTAACATTATAACGTCTATTGTCCATGTTCATGATAGATTCAACAAAGTTTTACGTTGGCTGTTGATGGCCTAACACAACCCTCCTCGTTTACTCGGGTTTGGGACCAGCTATAAACATAGGCGGAGTTAATTTGCTTAATAGGTCTATTCTAATAAAATCTCAGTTCATTTTCTTGAAGCATAATTTTGTGATCAAGTTTGACATGAAATTCATATCTAAATTTTGATGTAGTTCCATGGTCAAATCTTTACAACTGTGAGTGAACAATGTTGTGACTTGTTATTCTTCACTCCATCAATTGTGCTCTCTTAATGTGTTGTAGTCTTTGTTAAGTTTACTGTATTTGATTGGTTTTTGTTGCCTCCTAGATTTTTGATACAGGATCACTTGAGGGTCCTCTTGCCAAATTTCAAGTTAGTAATGTGCAAGTTTATGGAGGTTTTGTTCTTCACATTGGGTCTTTGTGGGGAATGACTGGCAGAATCTCGGTTGGTGATAAAGTAGCATGCAAGGTAAAATTCTGTCCTTTGCTGTTAATCTTTGTCTTTATTTTAACTTTTCTTTTGTGACCCCATCTAGTGGGATAAGGCTTGTTATTGTTGTTATTGTATTTTGAATTCTCCTTTGTGTATTTATCTAGTAACTTCTGCAGGTTGATTATGAGAGGCGTGCCCTTATAGCCCCTAACCATACCTGCACACATATGTTGAACTTTGCTCTTCGGGTATGATGCTACTCCATCAAGTTTTATGAGTTTCCTCTAGTTAGTTTGTGTTTGTCGTTCTTGAGATTTCTTGTGATGTGAATGCAGGAAGTACTTGGTAATCATGTTGACCAAAAAGGATCTATTGTTCTTCCTGAAAAATTGAGATTTGATTTTTCTCATGGTAAGTTTTGTTCAGTTGGGCTGCTTGAATTACTTGAATGTAGAGTTACTGGTAAAATGAAAATTTTAACAGGCAACCCAGTTGAAGCTGACAAGTTGAGGAAAATTGAATCAATTGTGAATGAGCAAATAGAAGCTGAATTAGATGTATATTCAAAGGAGGCAACTCTCATTGATGCCAAGCGTATCAATGGTTTACGAGCTGTTTTTGGCGAAGTAAGTAGTGAATACTTCCACGCATTTTTGTCTTCAAAAGGTCACACTTGTAAATATTCTGGTTTGGATGCAGGTCTACCCTGACCCAGTTAGGGTTGTGGCAATTGGACAAAAAGTTGAGGATCTCTTAGCTGATCCAGAGAACGAAAAATGGTTATCTATTTCAGCAGAATTATGCGGAGGTTAATATCATAGTATATAGATTCTTTAAATGCTTTATGAATTTCTCTTACGCATTTCATTTTACTTGATGCAGGGACCCACATATCGAATACCCGAGAGGCTAAAGCTTTTGCACTTCTATCTGAGGAGGGAATTGCAAAAGGAACACGCAGGATAATAGCTGTCACAACTGGTTATGCATATGACGCTATGAAATTGGCCAATGAACTTGAGCAGGAGGTAGATGATGCAGCTAAGATAGAAGGAAGTGCACTAGAAGAGGTTGGGGTTTTATAGATTCAAATATTTAGCTTTATATTTACTATTGTTGTGCTAAAAGAGGCATAAGCCTTCCCAAAAAAGGGTCATTAAAGTTGGGTAAAAAGAAACTAAGATACATCTTTTGTAATGATAAGAAATGTTAATTTTTCTGGGTAAGACATGATATTCTTGGTGGTGCAAATTTTAGCTCCTATGAAGGGGCATTTCTCCTTTCTTCCTTTTAATACCATTACTTTTTGAGCTTTCGTGAAAAATATCTTTGAAAATAGAGATAGTGAGCTTAAATATTGCAAAAAAGAAGGGTACATTTTTTTCTTGGAAGGGATAGACATAACAGTTATGAAATTTCAACTTCTTTAAGCTTTGAAAAAAAAATTCTGTTCGTTTTTTTTGTGTGGTGAATTTGAAATATATATCCTTTCCATGCTTTCGCTTTATTTTTTTTTCCTTTTTTTGAACTGGAAAATTATTACGTTGCCATTAATTGTGTTTTGTTTTTAACTCAGCAATTGATACTTATATACTTAATTGTGCTAATTGCAATTTCATAAACATTGCTTGAGTTCTTGGTTTAATTTACAAGTCAATATTATGAAGTACCATATTTCGTTTCAACGGAAGTTATGTGGTTGTCAACTATTTATCATTTATTTTGTTTCTTTGATGAAAGAAAGTTGTATTAAGATGAGCTAGAGTATGGAAAACTTGATGAGAAGAAATCCTCAATAAATTTGTAATGAGAATATATTTATTGAATTTAGAGTATGTACATGCTTGGAAAGCATGAATGAAGCTTAAATGTGTTACTGCTTATAGTTTGGGCTGACACCTATTGCATTGCAAATGGAATAGAGGAGACCGGCTAATTCTATGTGATCGTTGAATAAATTGGAGTGGTAGGAGTGGAAACTGAAGGCTAACAATGGCTCAATTTTAATATTTATGCTGTTACTGCTGACCAAAAATAGTTCTTTGGATTTCTAACAGTCATTTTGCATTTTATTATATCTTGAGATTTTCATTGGTAGAAAATGTGATCTTCACACAAGGAAACTATCCAATTTATTTATCTTTTTATCTTGGAGAGAATATGAACTGTAGTCTGTCAGGAGTGTCATATAATCTCAATATGAAATTGAGACATTGCATCTTAATCTGTCTATTTTATTTTTGATGTATATTTTGTTTGTTTGCTTATATTATCCATGTGGAATGAGTGATTGAAGATATGATCTTAAAAGGTTAATGGGTATGATTACACGAAACTGAAAATAACTGAAGCTGTGGACTGGAGAAGAGGAAGAAGAAAGTTGATATCCTTAGTCCGAGGCATTTGACGCTGGTCCATATAAATTCTGATGGGAGACTTCGAATAGCTAGTTATGAGCCTTGAAGCCCTAAACTGTGAACTGTGACTTTAGCAAACTATTGGCCGTACAAAATCCCTTGTCAGAGCCAATGCCAAAGTCCTATAGGCTTATGATTACAGAATATTTGATGTATGGAAAATAATGAATTGCTCATGAGCATGAAACTACAATTTTAGACAGTTGAATCAAATAATTTTGAGGGCCTCATCAAAACTAGGAAAGCATATTATGTTTACTTGTCAGATTTCACTTTAACTCGATATATATATATATTTATGTATGTATGTATGTATTCTGCTCTGGAACCTAGATCTCTCCCCAGCACTTAGTTGAGTTTATGCATCTTTTTTACAGAAAGTTTCTTATCTGAAAAACCGTGTCGAATCAATATCAATACCTGCTGCTAAGAAAGCTGATATAAAGACCAAGATTGCCCGACTTCAGGTATGAATTTTTGGGGTTCATGCTCTCTTTCCTTTTCTACTTTGGTGGTCTGTTTTTTATTGATATCCTCTCGTCTCCTCTTGTGTGAACTTGTCCTAATTTGTATGTAATAACCTGTTCATAGGATCAAGTGAGGAAAGCACAAAAGCAGATTGCGGAGGAAAACAAACGGAAAGCTGTAAAGTTGACGACTGAGAAGGCTGAACTTGCTGCTTCAGATGGAAAATCTTTTTGCATTTCTCGTGTTGATGTTGGTCTGGATGTAGTTGCAGTTCGAGAGGCGGTTGCAAAAGTCATGGAGCAGAAGGTCCCTACCAATATCTAAACTATATAATTTATAATTAATCTAATTGGGATATAGAATTTTATTTAATAATCGAATTGTGTTAATGCATCTCCTTTTGGGACTTTTATATCAGTAGATTTCATCATATGTATGCATATGCTCCATCAATTATTCTTCACCTGTTTCAAATGGATTTTATGTTGACTTGAATTTCTAAGCTGTGACGTTGCTGGTTGATCCACAGGATTTATCTGTGATGGTTTTTAGCATCGATGAAACTACAAACAAGGCTGTGGTTTGTGCTGGGGTACCGGAGAAAGGGAATAAAAGCAAGCTGGATGTGTCGGATTGGCTGAGTAATGCTTTGGGACCTTTAAAAGGAAGGTGTGGCAGAGGAAAAGGTGGCCTTGCAACAGGACAGGTCAGTATTTACTCACTATCGATAAAGGTAGAGAGAAGTACCTGTTGATTTTGGCCAGTGTAAAAGTTATACTGAATTGTCTGTGCTTGCTATTTTTGGATATCGTGTTTGGTGTCTCTGTGGTAATGCTTGCAATACATTCAGGTATTTATCTAGAATCAAAACAACTAGTTTTAATGTACTCTCTCTGTCCCAAATTATAAAGGCAACTTTGAAGGTATTTCGTTGTCCCAAAATATAAAACAATTTGACAAAAAAAGATTTCATTAATAATGTTTTTTCAATATTACCTTTAAATAAAGAAAGAATTGAAATGATTGCAGTATAATGATTCAGTGTGAAGATTTGAAGTTATATTAATTGAAGAGCATTTTTGAAAGTTTATATTTTTGTTATGAAAAAGTAATGTTATAGTGTTTATTAAATTTTATTGATATGTGTAATTTTGTCTTAAATTGTCTTATAATTTGGGATGGAGATAGTAATATAAATGTCTTCATGAAAGGTGTTACCTCAATAGCTTCAGCGGCGGACTTGGACGATTGAACTAGTGTCAGTTGAGATGCTGTACTTCTATTTGGCGACATATTGTGTTATGAAGACGTTTGTATGACATTAAAACTCTTAAGTTGTTTATCTGCATCGGCATTAAAGTATTACTGCAAGTTATTGGCATGTTTCTCTCAATAATTTTGTTTTGAAAACTTGCAGCATATCTGCATCTTGTTTTTCTCCAGAACATAGGAAAAATGAAAGACCAAATTTGTTCAAAATTGGAATTTTAAATAGCAAGATTAGTTGAAATGAGTGTCGAATTGTACATATTAGTGCTTGTTTTTCCCCCTCGTCTTACTGAGTTGTGCAATATTTGTCGTATTTCAGGGTGTGGATGCGTCACACATAAATGAGGCCATGGATCTAGCTGCGACATTTGCGTCGATGAAATTGAGCTAATCGATCGTATTGCTCTCTTCCTCTGGCTAAAGCAATATTTCAAAAGCTCTTGACACTTTTTTTAGGCTCAATTGGCACATATATATACTGCCTATTGGACTTTCCGTTGCATATTTTCTTGAATTGTTGACCTTTTATTGTGGGGGAAATCTGATATAGTATTTTTGTACGTATAAAGAAATCACAAACACGTTGATCCGCCAGGTAGATCTCAATATACTCTGAAAATCGCCTAGCTGTCCTGTCATTTTGTAGAGGCATAATCTTTTGTCGTGTCTGCTTGTGCATCCTTGTACGTTTTTCATTAAACTTGTAATTGTTCAATCAGCATGACACAAGCAGCACTTATTCTATTACATGTAACCTTAAATTTACGTGGTTTTTGTACTTACGCTAATAATCATGTTATACAATTTTTTTCCTCCTCAAGTCAAGTCATATGTGGATATAAATTATTACATGTTTTTATTGATTAAATAATTTTTTTCTACTCAATTCTATTAACTTTTAGGCGATTCAACTTCCATCCTTTAGTATTCTTCCTCTGGATTTTTAATTTTCGTATGCCAAATGTGCATGCAGATTACCGTTTTGGAATTTCATCATCCCCTATCTTGGTGTAGGAAGGTGGTGAATGATGAAATTGTGACTGAGGTGTGGTTTCTGTATGGTTGTAACACTTGGTTATTAGTTTATTATATCCATGTTTATACGAAAAAAGACGTGTCCGCACACAATCCTTTTCAAGTTCTCTTTTCCCGCATGCATAGCGAGGCATCGGAGGGTAACAATTTGTTCAGTTTTGTTTGCTACCATGTTATATGGAATATTGGTCTTTGTTCTATGTAATGTTTTAAAAACTGAACTGAATTATAAACCAGAAAGTTAGTGATTTATGGTTTACAATTTAAGTAGTTATACCAGCGGTTAAATTAGTAGTATAATAATTAAATTAAAAATAATATTGAGCTCACACACATAATATTAAAAATACTAGCAATATTGTTAATTGGGTAAAGGGGTAAAAATATTCATAAAGTAATTAGTTATGGGCACTCAATATTTTAAAGCGACGAAAAGAGTAAAAACACTCATAAGGTTACATGAATAGGTGTAAAAGTAATCAGATCATTAACTTTGACTTAATACTATTAAATTTAATCGTTAAATGCTGACTGTGTATATCACGTGTCAGTTTTTGTTGACGTGAATTACAAAAGGGTAAAAATACCCATAACGTTATCAAAGTTGGTACAAAAGTGATCAATCCATTTAATCCTTTAAATGTTGATCATTTAGTTGATACCTAAGCAGAAGTTGATTATTTTTTTACTGATGTAGACAAAAAATAAAAAAATATTCCAAGATGAATTTTTATAGATGTTGGTCGATCATTGTATGAGTACTTATAATGTTACTTTAGTAGGTGCAATAATAACCAATCCGTCAAAATTAATGTTGTATAATTTCTTTCCATCACCTCGTATCTCGGCCCCTTCCTTTTTCCTTATTCACTCATTTTTCTTATCTGCAAAACCTGAGATTTAACATAGTAAGATAGGTTGTTCAAAATCAAAGATCGAGATTGAGCACATATAGCTTAAGAACATTGTCACAACCTTAAGTAATTACATTCACGATAGTTTCAAAATTTTCAAATAATTTTCGCCACTGCTATAAACAAATAAGAAATTTAATTTGATATTCAGTCAAAATGATATTTTTTTAACATAATATTCATACAATAATCAATTAACTTCCAGATAATTTCATCTAGGAATATTTTCTATTTAAATTAGTGAAAAAAATAATCAACTTTTACTTAAATGTCAACTAAACGGTTAACATTTAAGAAATTGGATTCAATGAAAAAAATAGTCAACTTTTATTTAAATGTCAATTAAATAGTTAACATTTAAAGAATTGGATGGATTGATTACTTTTGCACCAACTTTGGTAATGTTATAGGATATTTTTGCCCCTGGCCAACAATTTCGTAGGTATTTTTTCCCCCTTTTTAGTTCACGTCAGCAAAGTCTAATACGTGGCATGCACAGTCAGTATTTAACTATCAAAGTTAATAGTGTTAGGTCAAAGTTAATGATTTGGTTACTTTTGCGCCCATCCATGTAACTTTATAGGTATTTTTGCCCTTTTCGTCACTTTAGGATACTGGGTGTCTGTGGCTAACTACTTTGTGAGTATTTTTGCCTCTTTACCCTTATTAATTTAGAGTTATTTAGCTATATTACAGTGAAAACATTATTTTTAGTTCTTGCATTTTGTTTGAGTTTTAGTATAAGTAATTGCATTTTTTTTTGTGGTATTTCAAGTTTATATATTTTTCTCCTTCTACAACATTGATTTTTATATTTTTAAGGGACATTAACGTGGCACAAATGGTGTTAGTAATTTTGTGCTTACATGTCAAACAAAAAGTTAATATGATTTTTTAATGAGTAAAAATAAAAAAGCTTACATCATATGAAATAAAAGTGGTTGACTTGACCTCTTAAATAATCAACCTAAGGTTTTTGAAAAAAAAAATTATTTCATATAATGTAGGTTTTTTTTCATCAACACCAGTTTGACATGGAAGCAAAAAACTAATAGTATTAATTGACATATTAACATTAACATTAATTATGCCATGTAAATGTCAGTTTGAAAATATAGGGATCAACATTGTAGATGGAGAAAAATGAAGTGACATGAAACACTAAAAAAAAGTATAGAGACCTATATCAAAATTCGAGCAAAGTGTAGAGATTAAAAGTAGTATTTTTCCTATGATATTTAAGTTTTAATTTTCTTATTTTTTGACATCTATATATTTTTTTCTTTTTCCTCATTTGTGTTTTAAAATAGAGTTTCCAATCTTTGGAACCTTATTTTAATTTTTCTTTCTCTCCTGGTTTGTCACTTTGGAACTTTTTTAATGTAATCTTTTTATTTTGTAATATATTGTATTGAATTAAAAAAAAAAAAGAGTTTCCAATCTTTTCTTGATAGTTTAATTTAAATAATGCCAATAAACAAATCAAGTACTCAAAATTTTACTATAACAACAAAGGAAAAATTGATATTAATATTTTTAAATTGAATAAAACCTTTATTAATAAAATAAGAGTAAAAAAAAATTCAAAATGGTCCAATCATTTCAGTTTCTGAGTTAATTTTGATTATGTAAAAAATGTTCAATTCAAAATAGTCCAATATCCAAAATGAGTTGAGTGTCAAATTGAGCCACTTTTATATTCGGGTGGCAATCTAATCAGTTCAACCATCCGAGTAGATTTAATACTTAAAGCATTAATTTTATGTATAGAATTGTATTGGCTCCTCTAGCCTAGCTATGTAATCTTCCTGTCTCTTTCGTAAGTCAAGCAGAACATTTGCTGGATCCTTAATATTAATCCCTCACCCTTGTTTCGTGCAATTGTGGCACACGTTTATGGAAATGCCCTCCTTTGTTGTCGCAAAAGATGGAATGCAAGCCACGGTAAGAGTGAACGTTTTGGCTCCCCAGAAAAGCAAGCTGCAGAAAGAACCTCGCCACTTCTTAAAGTTTGTAACTCTTCTCATGAACACGCCACCACTGACCAATAGAGTAGGAGGAGAGAGACTTGAAAAGTAAATGAAAACTTGATGTCTGCATGGGGCATTGTGGGAGACAAATATAAGCTGCCGAACTATTCTACTACGGTTATGGCAGACATTTTTGGTATCATCAATGGGTTTGAATTATGTTGGAGGACTCATGGTTATATAAATGTTGAGCTTTTTACAAATTGCATTTATGCTCTCAACCTCCTTACTGGAAATTAAATTTCTGACCACCCTTTACAAGACGTCGTTTAAAGAGGCCAAGAGTTTTCATTTCATAGATGTAATGCTTCCCTTGTTTTCATACATAGGAATTTGAATTGTATTGTAGTTTGCTTCGCTAGGAAAAGCCATGAGCTTGATACTAAATTTTATATCTTTGATCGTTTCTTACCTTTTGTCAAGAAGTAATAGTTGATGAAAGATAAGCTATCCAATTTCTTTACATTGATTTTGTAATATTTTGTTACTTTCTTAAATATTAGATTCTCTTTTTTTATTCAAAAAAGGAAAAGCAAGTGAAAACATATGGCATCAAAATAGTTTTCATGATTATTTATGTTTGGGGGAAAATTGAAAAGTGATTTATTTGGAAGGCAATTTAATTATTCGAACTAGCCTTGATTTTGATAAATTAATTAGAAGTGATTTACATATAAGATTGGGTGAGTAATTATTATGAAAACTTGGGTTTGAAGTCTCTTGTATGAGATGTGTACAAAGTCTATCAAATAATTTGCAAAATCATTGTTAAATGTAGATGGATTATTATTATTATTATTTTTGTGAAATTTAATGTTAAGACAAATCATGTTTCTTGCACTCATGGTAAATGAATCATTATCATGTCAAACTTGATCTTACTGAGAATTTTGTTTTTCATAATAGAAATAAGAGAGATGGAAGGTGTTTATTGTCACAGCATGACAATTTTTAAGTTATGAAAAATATAACTCATTATAAGTTCTGTATAAAATAATGGCTTTTCTTTAGTTTAGTAATATTTTTTCAACCCTCAAGATATATTTCTCCATGTTTCGTATTAACAAAATTTAACTTTATCTAATTACTAAACATACAATAATATTTGAAAAGAGACTCCCCTTGTTTTCCTTGTCTCCTCTGGTAATTATGTATATGAAGAATGATTGTATTAAAAGTTTAATTTAATGATAATTAGATTCCAAAAAAATTATTAAAAAATAAGTTATAAAAATCAATCTAAACAATTCTAAATTTAGAAGTTCTAATTTAAATATTTAGATTTAAATGTTTGAAACATTCTTATTGATATTTACATTTCTTTTTTTAAATATTTTTTTATTAAAGTATGCATTTAGTCCTTTAACTTTATATGACATTTTATTTTAGTCTCTTAACTTTATAAAGTATTTTTTTAATCATTTAACCCTAACATTGTTATTTTTATTCTAAGAAATTTTTTCATTGAAACTTTAAATATTGACAAAATATTCTCAAATGTTGATATATTAAGTTTATTTTTTTAAAATAACAATAATTGATATAAAATAATTATTTAAAACTAATAATATTAGGTTTAAAGAATTAAAAAAATATTTTATAAAATTAAAAGATCAAATTAAAGTCTTATATAAAGTTAGATGATTAAAAGTATAATTTAGCTGAATATGTTTTTTAAAAGATAAGTGTCACTTTTGAAACTTAAATATACCTTTTTTTTATGTTAATGTACAATGATGAAAATTTATTTTTTTGCGTGAGCACCGATGTCCTGGAGGATTTAATCGCTCAACTAATCAGAATTGAGGACGAGCACTGTCAGGTGGGCGCCCCTGGCCACT